TGGGGAAGCCCAAAGCAAAGTCACGAGAGTTTATGCTCAAAGTAGACAATATCATACCATTGTAGAAAATCGTAATTTCTAAAAGGGAGGTCATTAAGTGATCATCTCACCTTTAATTCTTTGATTTTTGCCTTCAAATCCTCCTTAGATTGTTTCAGCTTCTGGGTTTCACTTTGTAAATCCGTCACCATCCTGATGGCATCGCTCAAGATTGCAACCTTGTCTGTTTTGGGTGGTTTTCCAGGTTCAAGGACAGCAGCCAATTCCAAGAAACTTGGAATCATAGTAAACGGTGAATTAGTAGGAAAAGAAAGAGGAATAAAGTAATAGTTGATCAAATATGATACCTTTCATTCAGCTTATCTCTTCTCAATTTCTCTCTGCAAGCTTTGGAGGAAGATGCAGCAGCACCTGTTTCAGTCTTTGGCCTATATAACATTTGAGAATATAATAATTGATTCATTCTTTTTAGCTCAATAACTTAAGCTCTTCAGTCTAGTGTTTATTCAATAGAATGTAACTAAATCAGGGAATAAACCTAATAACAGGGGAGTCTGGACCCTGTTCTTTTTGTCAAACTGCCACTAACATTGGATGCAAAAGTTACATACTAGGTTAACTGACTAAATGCAAGTTCTTATAATAAAATTGGTAAAAACAAACTTCGATAGGTCCTCTTTGGGCTTTTTCTTCCGAACTTTCTCTCAAGGTTTTTAAATTGCATCTGTTAGAGAGAGGTTTCCATATTTTTATAAAGAATGTTTTGTTCCCCTCTCCAACCAACGTGGGATCTCACAGAACTACTACCCCCACGCCCCAGTATTCTTTCATCTTCTATCTTCTGTGTATTAGAGTTATTTGAAAAGTTTTTATCAAGATATGACGACTATTTAGAGTGTGGAAATCTCTCCCTATAAACATGTTTTAAAACAATAAGGCGGACGGCTATACGTAATGGGCCAAACCGTGAAGGCAGACTGTCCATGGTCATTTCTTCTAGTTTGAGTTCGAAGGGATTGGCAACGAGATGATGAAAATAGATTCTATTATAACATTTATGCTCAAGCTGAACTCCTAAAAGTCAATGCTTTCATTTATGCTCAAGATGAAGAATCAGTAGCCCAGTTGACATTGCAGCTCGCAAATAGTTAATAGAAATCTACTTCACCAAATTTAGCTACCCCAAATAGATTCTTATCTGTTTTAAATCTTCAGTAGTTCTGATAGAAACTTACCGTTTTCAACCCACTTCCTGTAAGCCGTCCAGATCTCCATACGAGCAGTCTACCTCCAAGCTGAAAAAAGTGAATATCCAATGAATAAAAACGCAAATAATAAACTTATTTCATGCATTCTCCTCCAACAAGGTAGCAACTCAACAGATCCAGCCCGTCTTGTCAAGAAAACCCACATAAAAAGAATAAATTGTTTGAAGGTTTATCCTTTTACTAGGGAGTAAAGCGGTAAGAGCAAATATTGTCCGTTATGGCCTGTTACGTATCGCCGTCAGGCTCACGGTTTTAAAACGCGTTAGCTAGGGAGAGGTTTCCACATCCTTATAAAGAATGTTTTGTTCCCCTCTCCAACCGATGTGGGATCTTACAATCCACCTGCATTCAAGGCCCAGCATCCTCGCCAGCACTCGTTTCCCTCTCCAACTGATGGTTTACGAAACAAACGGATGAAGTTAGGCTACTCTACACACTTGAGTCAGCGTTAGCTGGCAACTAATGAAAACAAGAGCTCTGAAATAATAATCCTCCCACCGGATCATCAATTTTTTAATCTTGATCCAAAACAGCATGAATCACCCCATCTAAGAGGCTCAGTAGCCATTTGATACCTTTGACTGAGCTCTCATTGACGTCATATCCCCAAAATCAAACTTAAGAACAATAACATGATCCATAAAGAAACAAATTAAATCATTTCCCAAGCCAACTGAATCAGTATAACCTCTAGTGAATAGTTTATCCAATATCCAAGTTAAAAATAGAACATGAGAGAGAGAGAGAAAGAGACTAGTAGATCCAACGAGTTCATCAACTAATGTTCAAGTGGGGTTATGGGGAATTGGAATGCTTTGTATCTGCATCAGAAAACAGAACTAATTGATTATAAACTTGGTTGCTAAAAGATTCTCCAGTTAATCACATGCTATAGCATAGTACTGAAGGCCAAACCAAAATTTAATTTGGTTTCCAAAGACCCAACACTGCACACAGTCCCAAAAGGCACAAACCGAGTTGCTCTGTCCCTAAAATGGCATGGCATGGCATTTAAGCAAACAGTTAAGATGCGCAGACGTGTAGAACAGTTGCAACAATCTTATCACAATTCCTTGCAGAAAACAAAAGCAATGAAGGGGGAAAGGAAAACCATAGATTAAAGCTGATGGGATGTTCGGCTTTTGATGAACATAATAACCACAAACAGAGTAATAGAAACAAAGAGTACATAAATTTACCCACCTGTCTTTAGATGAAAAGTTGATGGAGGGATTGGACCAGCTGAAACCAACCGACTGTGGAGGGGAGAAGTTTCCGGCGACGGCGAGATCATCCATTGTAGAGTAATCGAAGAGCCAATTCCAGTTTCCTGCAGAGTAGTCCATCGGTCGTTTTCGAGAGGTTGAAGAAGCTGCATGAACTAAAAAGGCACAGCCACCATTGATGGAGAATAGAAAGAGGAGACACTATGTGGGATCGATCAAAAAGCTCCAATGGGACCAGAGTGGGGGCCATTGCGCTGATTAGAAAATAAAAATTCTAGGTTCCCTGTTAAACAATTCGGGGCTAGGTCATTTCCACCCAATATAATAACCATAACCGATTAATTTATCAAAACAAGAGTGTGATTGGAGTTCATTGATCATTAATCGTTCATCATTGACCTAAGTTTATAGCATTATAAAAGAAATCTGCGAAGAATTGTTCGCCAATTTCGCATTCCATTATAATCGATCATACCATTTTTCAAATTTGAAACCCCTTTTCGAAACACCCATTAAATATATATATTTTTGGAGATTTTTTTTGTTCTTATCACTCGAAAAGCTTGAAATTTATTTACTTGAATAAGAAAAAAAGTGTTTTGAGATAAGATTCTATTTGATTCTAATCATGATAAAGTTAAACATGAGGTCCAAATTGAGAGACCTAAAAAAAATACATACAATATTCTTAAGAGGGCATTTTGGTAATCTAAGTACTGCGTTTATGTTTTGTCTTATTGTCTACGATTATTTTATTTTATCCATTAAAGATAGAGAAAAGTGAGGCTCCCTACCAAGGACGAGTAACAATAGTTAGAAATGTAACGCCTCATGCCCAGAATTTGTATTCAACGACTGAACATGACCACGTTATCTATTTGTTTTGGAGTCAAGTCTAAACATGATCACGTTTCTAAAAGATTTCTAAGAGGTCACTTGATAAAAAAATTGTTTCGAGACAAATATGCTTAATTTTGAAATTTTTATCATCGAGTTACAAAGAAGGATGAAATTAATTATTTCAAGTCTTTATAAATCACATCAAGTGTTCAAGATCACTCTTATTTAGATGTGGTTTTGGTTTATTTGTCCTGTATTTACTCGAGCATTACATGTCTACCAGTTTCTACCTTGGTTCATGTGAGATCCCACATTGGTAGGAGAGGCGAACGAATCGTTATTTACTCCATGAGGGGTGGATCGTGCAATTCCACATTGGTTATTGAGGAGAACGAAACACTCCTTATAAGGGTGTAGAAACTTCTTAGTAGACACGTTTTTAAAACTGTGAGACTGACGATGATAGACAACGAGTCAAAGTGGATAATATCTGCTCGCAGTGGGTTTGGGCTATTACAAATGGTACCCGACACTGAGCGATGTGCCAGGAAGGACGCTAGCCTCCAAGAGGAGTTAGATTGTGAGATCTCATATTGGTTGGAGAGGAGAATGAAGCATTGGTTACTCCAAAGGGGTGGACTGTGAGATCTCAGAGTCGATCCTTGAACCACATTCTATTTATAGATGTCTTGCTCTAATACCAATAGGAGAAAGTTTACAACCAAACTATAGTGGAAGGTAGTGAACATGTGAAACTCGAGTAAAAAGGAGGAACGAACATAGATTGTTACTACCTAGTTACTTCTTTATCGATGGTTGAATTTGAGCAACTGGGCCGCCGGAAAGTTTTAAAAAACAAAGGCTCAAAATAACGGTATTGCTTCAGCCCAGTCAAATTTGAGAAACTGGGCCGCCAGAAAGTTTTAAAAAAAGAAAGGCCCAAGATAACGGCGTTGCTTCAGCCCAGTCAAATATGAGTAACTGGGCCGCCGGAAAGTTCTAAAAAACAAAGGCCCAAGATAATGGCATTGCTCCAGCCCAGTCAAATTTGAGAAACTGGGCCGCCAGAAAGATTTAAAAAAGAAAGGCCCAAGATAACGACGTTGCTTCAGCCCAGTCAAATACGAGAAACTGGGCCGCCGGAAAGTTTTAAAAAAGTAAGGCCCAAGATAAAACGTTGCTTCAGCCCAGTCAAATATGAGCAACTGGGCCACCGGAAAGTTTTAAAAAAGAAAAATAACAATTTATATGGAGATGCGGGGTATCGATCCCCGTACCTCTCGCATGCTAAGCGAGCGCTCTACCATCTGAGCTACATCCCCGATATGTGATAAGGCACAATTAGTATTTATATTAAGTTGAGATCGGTCAGGTTCGCCAATAAGCTCGAGGCTTTAGTCATAACTCAGATCCAAGCTGGGTCTAAAGTCAAAAATTGATGAGCCCAACTCATGGATCATAAGATTTGACGAGGATGACCCTTTTTGGAATGTTGATTTGACTAACTGTAGTTAGTTACAGAGTGGCAGGCGATTAAAATTAATTAATCCAACCTTGTCCAGCCCTGTCTCTAATTAATTACGGACATTTTATTTTCACTGCCACGACAGCCACTCATATTTAATTAGCAATTCCATTGGGTTGAAAAGAAAAAGAAAAAGAAAAAGAAAAAGAAAAAAAGTTAAATAAAAGAAAAAGAAAACGTCTGTGTTTAGCGCAACATTTTTTTCCCTCCCTTTCGGATATCAAGAAAAGATATCTTGGAAATACAACGGGGGGAAAAGAATTCCACTTTTTTGATTTCGAAGGCAAAACCCAGGGGAAATTCTGCTGAGGAGGAACAAAAATATCATCCGCCGGCCAGGGGATTCAACCTCTGAAACCTCGTAATTTCGTCGATTTCACAACAGTTGTGTGCATGAGATTGAAGTAATTCCATCGTAGTGGACGATTGATTCGCACGTTTCAATTCGAACGAATGGGTTTTGAGATAAAGAAATTCCTTCGAGTTCGATGAAATGAAAAGAGAAAATTACGTATGGAATGAGGGTTCACACAGAAATGGAATTGAGAAGACCTGGTTATGTGGTTGTATTTGTGATCCTCCTCAGCGCATTGGCAATTTCCAGTTCAGAGGCCAGAACGAAGACCGTCGAAATGGTTCTCACCACTGCCGGCGATTGCCATTTCGCCTCCTCGGAATTCGAACCATATATGGTAATGCATCTTTTTTCTACAATTTTCAACAGTTTTCTGCATATATATATATATACATATATATTGAATGTGCAGACAATCTAGAACATTAGAATTCAAACATAGATAATGACATAAAATTGAATATAGCGTAGAATGGGAGGATGCAATAGTTTTTCTGAATTGCAGGGAATGGTGATTCGTACCTTTTTTGGTTGTTAGCTTTCATTTCCATGGGGGAGATGTTTTTGATTGTTTGAATGCATATATCAGCTTCTCGCCATCTGCAAAAACATAACTAAATTCTGTAAAATAATGTTGGGGTAATAACAGGAAGAAAATCAGGCGTGCATGAAAGAATTGGGAGAGAGGGAATATGAATATGAAGATGAAGAATTGGTTGCTTGCATCCAGAAAGGGAACATGGATGAAGCTATAAGAATTCTGGATCCTGAGATGAAACATGAATTGTTGAATTGTTTAAGAAGGAGAAGTACGTTTTCTCGTGGATCTGAAGAAGCACGTCCTAACTTAATTGATGGGTTTAGAAGGTCAACTGAGTTCATCTCCGGAGGCTCCAATATTCACATCAGACGTACAATTCTATCATCCCAAGATTCACCACCATCAGGCCCTGCTGCAGCTCCATCCCCTTCATCAGAATCACCAAACAATTCTCCATCATCATCTCCCAGTAATGCTCCAATGTCATCCCCTACTCATGTCCAACCCAAGTCTCCATTGCCAAAATCGAAATCGAAATCGAAATCGAAATCGAAATCAAAACAGAAACCGAAAGAAGACGACACCGACACCGACTCCGACACCGACACTGGTAATTCGGATTCTACGGATTCAACAGATTCACCTTCAGCTTCTGCAGGTCGCTCACCAAGTCTTCCACGTGGTTCTCCCAAGCGTCGCCCTCCAAATACGGAGGAGGAAGAAAACCTGATGATTATAATTGCTGGCATTGTAGCAACTGGTGTGGCAGTTGTTTTTACTGTTGCCCTGCTTTTGTTCTGCAGTTGTAGGGATGAGGAAAGTGAGCCTGATCCAAAGTTTAGGCAAAGGGGTGAGAAGCCTCTTCTTGTATCTATGGGCGAAGTATCAGCAGGTACTATCTTTTGGTTATGTTCTATCATTTGTGCACTCGTGATTTTCATATGAACTTTGTAATTTGTATACTTTAGGTTCTTCACTGAAGTCTTACAGCCATGGAAATTCAGCTACAAAACAGTTCGGTGCTGATAATGCAACGAAACCACCCTCTTTTGCTGGCAACTTGTCGGTGAATCCTGAAAATGTTACCTCAATGGCTGAGGCTCCAAGATTTGACGGTAAACCATCGGCAATGCCGCCTCTAAAACCCCCTCCTGGAAGATCAGAACCTCCGCCCCCTCCTCCACCAGCACCAGAACCAGAACCAGAACCAGCACCAGCACCAAAACCAGCACCAGCACAAGCGGCGGCGGCACCGGCAGCACCTCCACCGCCACCAGCAACTGCTCCTAGAGCTCCACCTCCTCCTCCCATGAAAGGTGCTCGACCCCCACCTGCCCCACCGGCGGGAATCCCTGGTAAATCTCAAGCAGTGCCTTTGGGGCCAAATCAGCGTGGAACCAGTGGCTCAAATACGGATTCGGATCCAGGAAGCCACAAGACCAAGTTAAAGCCATTCTTCTGGGATAAGGTTCTTGCCAATCCTGGTCAATCCATGGTCTGGCACGAGATTAGTGATGGATCTTTCCAGTAAGCCAACTTAAAACTCTTGAATCTCATTACTAATTCTTATACAAAGGGATTCGATGTGTATTACCAGTTTAATCATTATAATATTGGCAGATTCAACGAGGAGATGATGGAGTCTCTGTTTGGGTACAATCCTGCAGAAAATAACAAAGGCAACCGCAAGAAAGATTTAGCTTCAGATTCTTCCAATCAGTACATTCAAATCATCGACGCTAGGAAAGCTCAAAACCTTTCAATTCTCCTACGTGCATTGAATGTAACAACAGCAGAAGTTGTGGATTGCATTCAAGAAGGCACGCTCTCTGTTCTTTTTCTCTCCTTATAACTCGTTTCAATGTCATGCTTGAGATTCGATAAGAGGATAAATCAACAAATTATGTACCAGGAAATCCGGATCTTCCCGCAGAGCTTGTGCAGACATTGTTGAAGATGGCGCCAACAACAGAAGAGGAACTGAAACTGAGATTATTCTCAGGCGACCTTTCTCAGATCGGTCCGGCAGAACGGTTCCTCAAAGTGCTGGTGGAAACTCCTTTCGCTTTCAAACGATTAGAGTGTCTTCTCTTCATGATTTCAATGTCGGAAGACGTCGCTACCGTTAAAGAGTCATTCACAACTCTAGAGGTGACGATTCCAAAATTCAGAAAAAAAATTCCATCAGTTCATAAACACACAGCATTTAGTTTACAAGCTACTTGTTAAATGTTAGGTTGCTTGCAACAAACTCAAGAACAGCAGGCTATTTCTCAAGCTATTAGAAGCAGTTCTCAAAACTGGAAATCGAATGAACGACGGAACGTACCGTGGCGGTGCTCAGGCGTTTAAGCTCGACACGCTCTTGAAACTGGCGGATGTTAAAGGAACCGACGGCAAGACTACTTTCTTACATTTCGTCGTAACGGAGATTATTCGTTCGGAGGGCGTGAGAGCAGCCCGCTCTTGCAGAGAAAGCCAGAGTTTGTCCAGCATAGCCTCCGCCGATATTGTTTTGGATGACTTCACTGACGATTCGGCGGAAAATTATCGAAAATTAGGTCTTCAGGTCGTTTCTAGTTTGAGCACGGAGCTCGTGGACGTTAAAAGAGCGGCAGCCATAGATGCGGATGGGTTAACCAAGATGATAGCGAAACTCGGCCAGTCTCTGATGAAATCCAAAGCATTTATAAATGCCGAAATGAAGAATTTAGACGAAGACAGCAAATTCCGCCAATCGATATTGAAATTTTTGAAAGACGCAGAAACGGATATTACGTGGATTGCAGGGGAAGAAAAGAACATAATGGCGCTGGTGAAGAGCACGGCAGATTACTTCCATGGAAGTTCCGGAAAGGACGAAGGATTGCGATTGTTTACGGTCGTACGCGATTTCCTGATTATGCTAGACAAGACGTGTAAACAGGTTAAAGATGCAGCTGCAGCTGAAGCTGCAGCAGCGGCGGCAGCGGCAGTGGCAGCAGCGGCAACAAACCATGGGAAGAATTCCAAGAAAGAAACTCCGAAATTGTCGGCTACTTCTAATCAGAGATCAGAGCTACGGCAACGGCTATTCCCGGCGATTGTAGAACGATGGAAGGGCGAGGATTCAAGTTCTTCGGACGAGGAGGACGGCGACGGCGAGAGCTCATCTTCATCATCCTAGATTCCACTGACTGTATTTTAATTCTACGAATCGGAATCCCTTTTTGTGTGAATGGAAGAAAAATCTTCTCCAAAACATTCTGCAGTGTGACTTCTCAAGCAGATCATCTAACCGAACCTTCTTTGTCTTGACGATTTGTGACTTTATTTTATGACTGATTTATTTCATAGAACAATATCTTGAATTCAAAATTTTGGTTAAAACCCTTTACTTTTGTACTCATAAAATTAGTAGAATTCTTACAAGTTTGAATAAAAAACGAACATTTAATTAGCAACCGTGGAAGAAACATAATAAGCAACACAAAACAAGCCATGAACGAAACACAAAATCCCTCCCATAGACAGAAAGTGATGGTGCGTAAATCCACAAGAAGTTCTTGATTTACTGTTCGCCAATGCCCCAATCACCAGCAACGACATTCCCACTGCTAGAATTATCCTTCAAAACAAAAACAAAAACACAAATTTAGACTCTTAACCTGATTGCACGATATAACGAAAACTTTTTTATAAGGGTGTGAAAATTTCTCCCTACCAGACTTTTTTAAAACATTCATGAAAAGTATAAATAAGACCATATCTATTTATACCTAACTAGAGGATAATATTTGTTTACACTTTGGCAGACGTTTTAAAAACATTGATAGTCGAAAGAGGATAATACCGTTCTAAAACCCTTGAGGGAAAGTTAAAGGAGGACAATATCGTTTTAAAACCCTTAAAGGAAAGTCCAAAAAGTACTATATCGTTTTAAAATTCTTGAGTATAAATCTAAAGAGGACAATATTTACTAGTTGTGGGTTTGGGTTGAGGGAAAGCTCAAAGAAAAAATTTGAAGACACTATCCGCGAGCATTGAACTTAGACTAGGCTGTTACACTTAACCTAGCATCTCGTATATAAGCTTAATATGAACAAACTTACCAGGTGAAAACCAGGCATCCGATGGAGATCTGTTTGTTGGGGGGAGATTTCTCAAGCTCTTCCTTATAGCAAATGCAATTGAAACCCCCCAACAAATTAGCAATTATGTGGGCTAATCCCAGCAGCCCTGCTGCTCCTAGCCCCAATTTGAAAGCCTGCTCACTTGGGTCTCTGCACTCGAATATCCACAGACGCAAGTGCTTCACCTACTCAATAACCACATTACAGAGTTCAAATCATCACCATTCAACTCATGGTTATGCGTTGTTTTCAAATGAGTACCTTGTTTTGTGCAATATCAGCTTCGATGGCGAGCAAGCCAGCCACAATATCCATAGCTACAACCAGCAAACAAACCAACACGCCAACCAACTTCATGGCATCCTTTTCTTCTTTGTATCAAAGCAAAGGGTGTGGAACAAAAGGGTCTATTTATGGGCTTGAAAAGGCTTCTTTACACTACAAAGCTTGAATTTTGGTCTTTCTTTCGTGTTCCATCTTGGATTCCTTTCATAGGGGAGCAAGGAAAGTAGGGTATAAAAATTTAGAAAGCAGTGCAGATTAGATTATATGGCCCAGTTCATTCGGTGGCATGACCTTAATTCTTGGTTAAGTTTTTTGACTTTTAGTTACATACTCATAATGTTATTGCCGGTAAAAACACGAGAGCTTATACTCAAAGTAGACAATATCATATTATTGTAAAAGTTCGTGATTCTTAAAAATTACATGTTCAAATATTCGGTTGTTTTACTCGAGGTATAGAGCAATGCTTTGCTGGAAAATTTTGAGGCTTCTCACGTACAAAAGGGGATTAATGGAATAGAATCACAGATTTAGAGACTTAATTAATTACTATAGCTATGATTATTCGTGTCTTTTTCCTTTGGGAAGGAAAAAGGTGGATTCTTGAAGGAGGCCATGTGGTCGGGCATCTGGGATTCTATGATGCAAATAAATTGACATAGAAAAAAAAAACAAAAAATCCGACTTGCCGGATTCGAACCAGCGACCTAAGGATATCTGAAAGCTTAACCAACTACAGTCCTCCGCTCTACCAACTGAGCTAAAGTCGGATGTGCTCATCATTTTGCATATTTATTTATACATAAAATAAAGTAAGGAAAAAATGCAATTTGTGGGGTGACTTTATTTGAATTTCAAACTCCCATCACTTTATGCATAAATTGTAATGGCACCTTGAAATAAGAATATGCCCTAAACTTTATTATGATTCCACTTTAGCCATAATTAAAATCTTGTATCATTACCTAGTTTGAACATACATTCTTAGTCAATAATGAAATTTTTTTTGTTGCTTTCTAAAATTTTACTTATTCTTTTTTGGTCGATCGTTGTTTATTTTGTAGTTATTATCATAATCATTTTAAAATAGTGATACTAATTTTCGTGAAAAAATTACTGTGTGGTGTGCATGAATAACTATCCAATAAGTTCTCTCGAAAAAAATTTCTTACTATTTATTTCAAATACTCACCTTGTTTCTTTTCAAAATAAATTTTTAAATAACCACAAAACAGTGGCTCGAGAGTGACAATTTGTAGTAAGAAAAATTTTAATTTACTCGTATTGTTTTACTAGTGGTAGAGATAATATGGTTTTTGGAGAACATAGTTTAATGACATTTTCTATATAAACTAAGGTCTAACTTTACTCGAGATCTTTTAGAAAAATATTTTTCAATTAAAAATTAAATTTGTATTTTACTAATTAAATTATGGTTTTTTTTTTTTTTTTTTTGTGTGGAAGAATCAATAAAACTATATATTATTAACATAACTACAAGAATAAAAGTTTACAAATTTACAAATGAAAACTTAATTGATCTTATTTAAAAACAAAATTTAATAATGCATGTCAAAATTATGTATGATAATTATAAAAAGGTAGAGGCCAATGTTTATAAATGATAATAATAATACTAAAAATAATAATAATTTTTTGATATATTTGTTGGGCAGATAATAATTGCAATAATTGCACCACCACAAATAATAATTTTGAGGAGACATATAATAAATTGAACATTATTATTATTTTTATTAAAATATTAAATACAATTTATTATATCTTTAATAATTTAGTTGCGTGTATGTATATATATAAATAATAAAAATGTCTGTCCAAAGCTGAACAATACAAGGACGAGTCTCGTGAAAACTGTAGGGATCAAAAACGGTGTCGTTTGGTGCAGAGAGATGATTGGACAATGATCAACAAAATAAAATAAAGTTAAATGCTTATTAGTATAATTTGTGGATCAAAATTATGTGGGGTCCATTAAAGGGCCCAACCGACATAAACAAAACTAATCTTTAAAAATAAAACATCATAAATGAGAAGAACAGATCTATCCTCTTATTTATTTCTGATTATTACAATTAATCTTATCAATTATAATTTGGGACCCACTCTACAAGGGTAACCTAGTCAATTTGTCTATGATACGATACGAAGAACACCTCATTAGAGATGTTTATTTAACTTGCAAGATCGGAGTCTCAAAAGGACCTAAACAAGATGAAGATTATTTCTTTAGACAGAGACCCCACCAAAGATATCCATTTAACCTGTAAATTAGAATTTGAAAGGGACCCACTTGACGAAGTGCGATGATTCTCGGATTACACGAAAACTCCACTAGAGATATCTATTTAATGTGCGAGGCCAATATCCCACTTGAATATGTTAGAGATTCTTTGTTTAGATAGACAAAAGAGATAGTGGAGAGAGACTATTTCTTGTCCAATAAATATTTTTAGAGTGTTTTTTTTTTACGGTTAATTGGATTAATTTATTTATGTAGTTATTTTGTTTTTGTCCCATTCTGTCTGTTGATTCAACTATTAATTTATTGATCGAAAAAAGTTATCACTATTTTTTTTCGTGTGCCATTTTTCTTATATTTGAAATCACATATCAAAAGATGGTGACGATGAAGAGACCTTTCTTATTCTCGTCTTATAGTGTAACAACCCAAATTTATCGATAGTAAATATTGTCTTCTTTGGACTTTCCCTTTTAGACTCCCTTTCAAGGCTTTAAAATGCGTCTACTAGAGGAAGATTTTCACCAATATGAGACATTACTGGTTTGTTCTCCTCCCCAACCAATATGAGACATCATACATAGTTACTGGGATTATAAGGTAACCTACTTTTCCCAACAAACTTAATACCATTTATGTCAAAAGTTAATTTCATTAGGAGTAAATTATATAAAAGGAAATAAATCTCTTAAATGGACAATATTATAAAACTGAGTTATATTTTAACATTTTAATTTAATAAAAATATTTTTATTCTTTCAAAAATTATAATAATATATTGGATATCTCCATTAATTTTTAAAGTACGATTCAAGTAAAGTTAAAAATATTATAGTTGACTGATAATAATTTAAAAATTCATCTGGGTGAGTAAGACGATTCGATATTTTGTTCATAATAAAATTTTAAAATAATTTTATAATTTATTTTTTTATGAGGCATAGAGTGGACTACGAGTTTATTATTATGAACTACTTTTCTCGGGTAAAGATTTATATTTTTTGGGCAGGAATGTCAGTGGTCACACTTTACTTGCACTCATACTACACCTAACTGTCTCTCTCCCTCTGAATTTGTGTTAATATATTTGCCTTCCATTTCTATTTTCTTCTGCTTGTTTCTTGCACCACCGTCGAGAATCTCTCAGTTTCCTGAAGTTTGTTCATTATTCTGAAGAAACCCAACCTGGATCGTCCCTTTCCGCTTGTCTTCTTCTCCGTTTTCACAATAAACCCCCGCTGTTCTTCCTCTTCTTCAATACTCTACAGTTTGTTCTGGTTTGTGGGGTGTTTTCTTTTTCTGGGTTATGGAAGTTTGCTGCAATCTTGAAGTGGATGTCAATGGCGAACAGATCTTTTTCGTCGATAAGGTCATTCTCTGTTTTTTTTTTATACTTTAACCCATTGATTCTGTTGTTCTTGCGTTTCATCTTCACTATTTGTTTTGACTCTTGTCTAGAGTAATTATTGGGCATGTTTTTTTCTGATCAATTTTGTCTGCTTTGTACTTCCCTTTGCTTTAATTTTTCTTTTTTGGGCTACTTCTGTAGAAAACTGTAGCATCATACTGTGGCAAGTTGAGCAAGTTATTTGGTAGATCAAAGGGTAGTTTAAGAAATTTGAAGGTGATATTCCAGGGCTTTCCTGGTGGGGCTGAGGGATTTGAGTTAATGTTGAAG